CTATTTCGGTAGCCTGCTTATTTCATTTAAAGGTGCCCTCATTCATTTCATGATCCCGACTTAATTATTTATAGAACCCTAATACGTGAGATCTTAAGTTCCAGGTTCCGTCATAATGATTCCTACTTCAAAATGGATCAGGGGAGGATCCCGACGTGTTCCATTACGGGTCTTTGATACTTTAAGTCAAAATATCTGAATGTTCCAGCAAGGATCTTTACTAAGGATCAGTTTGTTTCCAGTGGACATCTTGGTCCGTAAATGATCTAGTGGAAATCTTGAGACCTTTAAGCCGTGATCAGTAGGGATACATTCCGGTCCCAGTAGGGATCCCGACATCTTTAAGTCGGAATTACAATATGTTGCAGTTAGGATAGCTAAATATCGCGCGATTTTGAAAGGTTCTAGTCAGATTCGGGGGATTTTTACAGAGATCTGGCCGAGTCCAGGGGACATTAATCTAACCTGTAGATATGGCCGGCCGGTTGGAATTTTCCGAAAATGAGAGAGAGAGAGAAATGGGGTTTAACGTCCACTTTACACAAACTAGGTCATTTTGGGACTAACATATGGTTCAATTTTCTTTCAATAATTTGCTTGCGCGTAGGGGTCTTTAGCAGTGGGGGGAAACCGGAGGACCCGGAGAAAACCCACGAGGTTGGACAGGCGATCCTACTCCTTGTCACGTACAACAGGGGATTCGAAACCACGCCAGTTGACTCAATGACAGGTCGTATGATACAGCACGCACGTGCTAACTTTCCGAAAATGCCAGCAAAAGGTCGGACAATAGAGTTATATACAGCTTCCTATTCTTATGTATTAAATGCCTTATTTTGATTAATATTCATGCAGTTTTAACTGCTTTCGCCGTCTCAAACCCGATAAAAGTAGCTATGCACAACTTCGCGAAGAATAAGATAATCAATTTACATTAACTATTTTTGAACTATTATAGCCAGAACGACCAGCTTATCTAAATCTGGCATAATCTTCCTTTAATGTATAAATTACACGTTCTTGAGGAGGAAACGATTGCAAGACAAACTACCAGTCTACCTTTAAACCTCTGAACCATCTCAAACTGATCTAAAACTTTCCAGACAATTTTGACATTATTCAATGAGTAACACAGCCTTCAGGCAAGCCGAGTCTCATTAATCGTCTAATGCCAGGTTTTTTTCAAAACATAAAACAAAAAGATAAAGGGCACCGCATGGAATCACACAACTCATCCATCCCACGTACCTTGTCTTTCTTTTATGTTTCTTTGAAACGTTTAAAAACCCATTCTTGACGTCAATATATTGTCTAGTCGACTCGCTAAATTACTTTTTTTTTTAAACACGTTGTTATTCGATAACTATTCTTTAGAAATATTACTATTTTTTCTGTCAGGTTACCTTTGATATGATTGGCAGTAGACCTGGCTTACATAACTGGTGCGAACTCAATGACTTCAGCTTGTTTTGATTTACCTATGTACTGATCCAGGATGTTCTTGAGACTAACATGTGGTCAGTTCCTATGGGATCGTGGGAATTGCTAGATCTCCGCCTACTGTTTATCGGAGTCTTCAGTTATTAATCCACCTTTTTTCAGATAAATAAGTTCGTTTTCCATGCAGGCCCGTAACTAAGAGGGTCGGGCGCAGGAGGGGGTTGCGACCCCCCCCCCCCCCGCAAAAAGTTTCGCCCCCACCCCCTGTGAAAAAATTTACAACCATAAAAAAAGTAGATATACATTGTCCGTCATTATTACAGCACCCCTGAGAACACTTACCGACCCCCCCCCACCCTCTTGTTGCTCTGAGCTAGTTACGGCCCTGTTTCCATGTACGCGTTTCCGCGAAAAAGTCGGTCTAATGTTGTATATTTTGTCGCGCCTGATATGCGCATTCGTTCTCTAGCCAAAGTTTATGTCGCTGCATGTTTAGATTGGAAATAGTGAACACAATATCAGCCTCCACGTTGTAAAGATAAATCCTTATTTATGACGTCATTTACCTGTAGGATTCCCCCCCCCCCCCAATAAACTTTTCAGCAATTCTCAGTACACATGGAAATACAGAAAATCGGGCACGGAAATACGTACATTGTACGTGACAAGGAGTAGGGTCGCCTGTCTAACCTCGTGGGTTTTTTTTTAGTCCTCCGGTTTTCCCCCAATGCTAAAGAGTTCTACGCGCATGCGAATAATTGAAATAAAATTGAGACATATGTTAGTCCAAAAATGACCTAGTCTCTCCCTCTCTCCCTTTCCTTCTCTCTGTGTTCTACTTGAAAATATTGTTGAGAAATGATTCCTTTTGGCGAACAAAGAAAAATCACGGTGAAAAAAAAAGGATTCCAAAATAGGCGTAGAGCGGAGGTGGGGAGTAAAGTGGTAATTTCATATTGCAGCTTAATAGGAACGGTTACAGGACATCGTCCGATCAGACACCCTTCCTTATGGAACTAGTACAGAATAGTAGGACGTAGAATGTAAAATTCCATTTCGTTTCACTTGTGCTGCCTTCTTGTACTGTTTGTTTGATGTTTTACTGGTCAGTTTGGCTGTATTAATTAGCTTAACTCGTGGTAAAAATAAATTTAGCAGAAGGAAATGATATGAAATGAAATGGGATTTAACCAGTGTCGGATTTAGGACAAATGAGGCCCTGTGTTAGTTAAGTTATCGGGTCCCTTACTTGAGCCAAGAAGGAAGTAAGCCCGACATGTTTACACAAGCAGTAAGACATACATGCTTAGGAAATTTAGGAGTAGTTGAAATATTACATGTTACTTGATCAATCATTATTTAATGCATTCCATAGAATTTTGAATTTTTTTGGGGGAAAGATGGGGCCCCTCTGACACTGTGTTTCAGCACACCTAAGCACAAAGGTAAATCCGACACTGGGTTTATCGCCCCACTGTCCTGCACCGACTGGGTTAACGGATAGCAGCGCTATTCCAACTGTCAAGGGTTCTTTTACGTACACAGAATCCCCTTTTTAGTCCCATCGGAAAGGTTACCACTAACAAGAGAAATTAATTTAGTCCATACACACCAATTTTTAATAAATTGTAAATAAAATGGAACACATCGCAGGTCCGCACTATATAAGTTATAACTCTCAATAACTGTGTAAATACGGATACGTCTCTGAATTACAAGGTCATTATCTATGACGTAATTAACACGTGTATTGCAGAAAGGTAATACATGCAAGTGAAATACCAAGGTTAATAGATCAAGTGATATTATGTAAACTATGTTTGTACATTATGGTTGTACGTGTCATTTTTATATATAATTATTCAAATAAATGCACACTTCATGAGCTGAAAGAAATAAAATAGGATTGAACGTTTTACTTCTCTGCAATAACCGAGCTAGACGGGCGTGCGCCAATTACACCACGCAGTAGCTGTACGAGCATTTTGCCCCGAGAGCGGCGCTACGGCCTACTATTTATATTTACATTACATCGACTAAATCATTACAAGAACCCCCGTCCTGCACCAGTGACAAGATGTAACCTGGTTGGAAAATCCGAGGATTAGTAAGACGGTGTCATACTCACTGATCCACTAAGGCGCCCCTCGATTAGAAATAAAACTCCTGAATGAGAAATGATATCAGGTGTTCTCGAAAAAGAATGCATATCATGCCTCGTACATCACACCCATCTAGCTTAATAGGACAGTTAATACAGGACACATCGCTGATTACATTAGAAAGTGACACCGTTAAATTGTTAATATAGATATGCAAAGAAACGCCCGGAGAGTGGCTGGACATCATGGTGTATGGGGCTTGCGCACAAATCTTGGGCCGAGATACTTGTTCGGGATTTCCCAAACTGGTTTCCCCTTGTCAGTGGTGTAGAACCGAGGAGTGTATTGTTTTTCGGATGGGGCGAAAAAACGTGGTCCATAAATGTACTCGTTGGTGTGCGCGTAAAGAACCCTTGACAGTTGGACTTCCGCGAAGAGTAGGTGTAAGGTTTCCACTGGAAACACCGCTTTCCGTACCAAATTTATCCAAAATACCCCTGCATGGCGAAATGCCCCCCTTTTTTTAAAGTTCATTTGTGTGGGGGGTCCCACCATAAATAAATATCTCCAAATATTTCGACGATCATATATATATATATATAACAAGCATTAACAATAAAAAATATACTGAAAAGGTAAACGAATATAGGTAATAACAGCATCTTAAACACTTAGCCCACTAGCTGCAATATTGTAACGTCAAAAACTTGTATTTTAACAAATGATAATTAATCATAAACATTGAAGTATGCACCAATAAAATAGTCACCCAGCAGTTTCTCTTGTGGTAATGCGTATTATATATATTTTCGAAGCGAAATTTGTTATGTACACAAGTTGCCATGACGTTTCTCACGTAAAATCATAGAATTTTCCGGTAAGGTGGATTAGTTAATTATATGTAAGGGTGTGCGTAGTACATGTTGAGGTTTGATTAATTGGAAATTTAGGTAGCTACAGGTCTGCAATTGTTTTGCAATCCTGGAGTCAAAGACGGACTTTATCAGTAGCGGAACTCAGGGCCGCATTTACCTATTTGTGGACCCCAGGCTAAACTCATCAATGGACCCCAAGTTTATAGAATTGGTGGCATGTTTCAGTATCCAATTAGTTTCAGTGACGCCCCCCGCCCTCCCCCCGATACCCGTAGACCATAGGTCAGTGACCTGCTATGCCTATTGGTATTTCCAACCCTGGTGGAACCATCTCTATTGAATACAGTAACAAGGGTATGCAGACCCGAAATATGCACCGTAGCATGTCAGTACATACCAAACGCATTTAAAGCTATTGAAGTTTTGGGAAAATAGCCTTTAGAAATTCTGCGCCAAATAAATGGCGCCGTTGGCCTGCAACCTTTCACTAGATTACAATGTCTATACGAAAAAAAATCAAAATCTATAAATTGAAGAGATGCGGACAATCATATTCACAGTTCAACTAAAACAATCCTAAATAGAATAGTAAACTAGGAATATTGTCACTAAAATATGCGGGTATACATATCTAGATTTCAAAAGCGGGAAACTCGGCCTTTAACGGATCCAGTAGATCTGCTAAGAAGTAAAGGGTGCCAGCCATGCCTGAAAATAAAACAAACTAATTTAGTAAAATGGAACCATTTTGACAATATAATAAGCTAGAGGATGGGTTTAATGTCCACTCTGACACAAATGTCGGGACTTATGTGGTACACTTTTATTTCAACTCTAGACAACGTCACATATCTGTAAAGAAACGTTTTAGATGGCCAATTAATTTAAGAATTGGATGAGTTTTGAAACAATGTATTTGAGGAAGGTGGAGTCTTGTAAAAATCATAAATAAGTTTGTAAATGAACATGACATGACTTTGTTTTTTTTATACCACTATTGTTACTTTAAAGCCTCGACCAATATAACAGAATCTAGAAGCCATTGACAAAAACTTAATCATTTGCGCCCACCAGTCCTACAATATACACACCTTAAAATCGATATATTAAAGTCACTGCCTTTATAAAAATATATCAAATTATCCGCGCTAAAATTTACTTAATTTATTTTTTAACATTCATTAAAGTACAATTATATGATCTGCATTTTCTGGGAAATAACAAATTTTACACAACTTCATCCACGCTAATATGTACTCAAGTACATTATTTAACATTTAATATCGACAGCAATGAATGCATCATATTTTTGTAAATTCTGAACGGAATGGAACCATTTTGTACGGTATATTCTTTTTAAAAATTTAATATCGTAGTTTTCAAAGAACGATCAGAGACTATTATGGAATGGGTGATTACCTTCAAATAAAGAGAATGGTCTGTCTGGTATATTACAGCCGTGTTTACCATAATTAAAACACCATTCACCAAACTGAAATATAAAACAATATTAATGAAATGAGGTTTAATTTAACGTCCTAGTTTTCTGCGCCAATTGGACTAATGAAGATGGACAAACATGTACACCATACAGTGTGCTATGGGTGAAATTTTTCTCGGACAGCGGCACGAGGCCTACTTTTATTTTGAATTTTATCTCTCAAATGTTTTTTTTACCTGCACACAAACGTGTACTGACTGAACAATTAGACACTGTTCCTAGCCAGGCCATCTGAAGTGTTTTAACTAGTGATTGACGTAAACGTTCACAAAGAATTGAATACTAATAGTAATACTGCACAGTTTAACGTGACGATATGCAACTGCAATGGAGATGGGGAGAGTTTATAATAATTGATCACAGACCCCCCACCTTTCTTAACATTCAAACATTCAAATTAACTGTTTGTTATGCGCATTTATGATCTCAGTGCTGCCCAACACTTTTTCTTTTTTTTAGAATGGACTATTTTGCACCGATAACGGGGTTTCCTACAACCCTTCTTTCAAGTCCAATTGCCAAGTGTTCTGTTACTTACATGCACACCATAGTACACATGTATTGGCCTATGTTTCTCGTACCCTCCGAAAGACCAGATTGTTCTTATAGCCACAGACCTACGCTAGATTTGAGATTCGGGCAAATATTTCAAAGTATATTGGCAGAATACAGCTTTCCATACACTCAAATCCAGCTACCACTTCCCCATTATAAGAGAGAGAAATGGGATCTAACGTCCACTCCACACAACTAAGTCATTTCGGGACTAACATATGGTTACAAACCTTGTAAGCTCTGTATAGATATTTCTGTTGTCTAGTAAGTTTGTATAAAGCAAGAAAAGCGTATCCATTACCAGCCGTACCATGACATACACCATATCCCTTCCTTAATATACCTCTAGACCATATAACATCACTACATGCTATGGCTGCTCTCATATACTTCTCTTCTTTAAACACCTATAAAGTATACACAGTGGTTAAATACCTATAATATACACGATGCAGTAATTAAATCCACAGTGTAGTATTTAATACCTATATAATATACACAGTGTTGAAAAAGCTTTAAAAAATGGGCTTCTGCAAAGCAGAGAAGAATTTTGTAAGTTGTAATACCATATGTATGGCGAGAAAATATATGGCTAATAAATTAAAATGAAAAATTGGCGGGAAAAAATGAAACCCACCCTCAGTTTGATTTTAGCTCTATAGAATCCTACAACATTGTAAAAGTTGAATATCTAATTTAGATAACGTGCACCAGTGAACCCGGGAATTTCTCGACCAAGATCGAACATCAGACCTCCTGCAGCTTTTAAGCGTGTTTTGGGTGTGCTAATAGATGAATTTGGGGCTCGAGAAATATTATCATCAAAACTTTTGACATTTGTGTTATTTTTTGGACTGTGTTTTGAGCATGGCTCATGGATATAGACTACTATCATTATAACTAGTACCTGATAAGCCACTATAAATGTATAAATCCAGCCAGGTGCACCGTGACACCAGTGTATTAATTTATCACCAGAACTACTATCTAAAGATGAAGGACAGTTACCAGACGGGAACTGAAGAGTTAACATGTAGTCTATTGATGCTTGTAGATCTTTAAGATAAGGTTCAATATAACATCTGTCTAACTGTAATAGAAAATGGAAAATATTAAGGACCATGCATTATGTAAGATTTTCATAATACTTCTCGCTATATAATAGTTAAACAATTGGTAATGAAAGGGGAATATGTTGAAAATTTCAGTCAAATTACTTCACCCGGAGTGGAGTATTGGCCATTTGAAGAACAATGCAGTCTCGATTGTCATTGCTACCGTTGTTACGATAATAAACAAAGTTTCGATTATTCTTTTTTAATTAAATCGCGTTTAAATCCGTTGAAAGCCAAAACCATTCGATGGTTTTGAGAGTTGATTATGGGCTTGACATGTCAACAACTGCCTAAATAATGATTTATATAACATTTGAGATCAAACGAAAGATCTGTATTGGACAGATTTAGGTCCAAACGTAATGCATCTTTAACAAAAACACTTATATTCATCCGCTTGTAATGTATTCAGTCGTGTGGAATTTGATCACGTAATTCATTCACCCATATCTAGCCGCGTATCTCATATTAGAATACACCAGGTTTCTCATATTAGAATACACCAGGTTTCTCATATTAGAATACACCAGGTTTCTCATATTAGAATGGAATGGAGTCTAACCTTACTTTTCTGCATTCACGTTGTGGGGTGGGCCGATGGGGATGGGACAAGGGTTACTTTGACCGATGGTCCAGTAATGGAAACGAGCGTCTCGCACACAATCATACTAACCACATTGTTGTTATCTGTTATAACATCATATCATCCGATTTACGAAAACCATTAAAACAAAAACAAAACATGTATAATCTACTAGTAATAAGACTTTAATATCGTTTCTTTTCAAATCAAAATCAGACAGGCAGAGTCTTAGGCCCGTTTTCCATGTACGCGTTTTCCCCAGAGAAAAGGTCGGTCTAATGTAATTGTAATAGAACGGGCTTAATAGCAACTTCTTAACAAGGTATTTTCGCCTTAAAGTTGTTGGTCGGGTCGGGTCGGGTCGGATCGGTTCGTACCCCCCACCCCCCACAAAAAAAAAAAAAAAAAAAAACAAATCCAAAAATTTATTTTTTTCAAAAATACCAATCAATCAAACAGATTATCAACTATACACTAAGTTTCACCACTCTCTACCTGATAGAATCAAAGTTATCTTGTCCTAAAGCATCGACCGATGAAATTGCTTAGCTTTAGCTCGAAATGTCAATCATTGAACTCAGTCAGGACATTCACCTAATGAACATCTACATCAAGTTAAACATTCCACCTTAATTAAAAGCAGAGTTGTTATGTTCCAAAGTCTTGACCAATCAAATTGCTTATCGCTCTTTAGCCGTAGCAGAAAATTATCATCATCGAACTTGGTCAAGGTAATGGTATAACGAATCTATACTCGGAGTTTCATCACTCAAACTTAATTAAAACCAAAGTTATCGTGCCTCAAAGCATCAACAAAAAAATCAGATTGCTTATCTCTGCTTACCGTAAGCAGACAATGTTTATCATCAAACTCCATCAAGGCATTCACCTAATGAACGCCTACACCAAGTTTGAACATTCTACCTCAATTAGGAGGGTTATTGTGTTCCAAAGTATCGACCATTCTAATTGCTTATCGCTCTGCTTACTATCGAACTTAATAAAGGTATTGATGTGGTAAAACTAAACATTCAGTGTCCTCACACTCCCTTAATTAGAACCAATGTTATCGTGTCCCAAAGCATTAACCAATCCAATTGCTTATCTCTGGTTACCCAAAGCAAAAAATGCTCATCTTCGAACTTCATCAATGCATTGACCTAATAAACACCCACACCAAGTTTGAACATTCTAGCTCAATTAGAAGGAGAGCTATTGTGTTTTCCAAAACGTGGGACGGACAAACGGACGGACAGATAGACAGACGAACCCAAGACCTCTTGGTTGGTTAGCGAGCCGATTATATACTGTTCCTTGTCACGATAACGCATCTTTAAGAAGCATTTGAGTGACCTGGTCGAATTTTTTTTATCTTGGCAGCAAATGAATGTAGGACTTTAAATTATAACCATAAAAGACATATAAAGGTCAAACGTAGAATTAGTTCAAGAATTACCCCTTTCTTCACGTCCATGTAAAAATATATTGTATATATACTAAACAGCAAAAAAACCATCAGTACGATTTCAAAATCAGAGAGGCACTTTAATCAAATCATTCTAGAAAATGACTTACCAAATGGATCAAAGCATTTTTTTGTGAACAGTATTTTGACACATTAGTGATTAATTCATCACAATTCCAAGACATTATGAGAAGGTTTAGAGTCTGTACACAGTCTATATATTTACATCAGTTCACCGCGAGTGTCAATATCAGCAGCGCAGCGTCTGTACATGGAGTGGACCATTGGCACCTGGAACCACACTCTCAGAAAAGCTTTATCAAATCTCCTCTGAATTTCATCCCAAACATGTTCAATCGGGGTTAAGTCCAGACTAAGTGCTGGACAGTGCATAACGTTGACACCGTTTTGCTGTAGAAAGTTCCGAGTAACTCTGGCGGTGTGAGCACGAGCGTTGTCATGCTGGAAAACGTTGTTTCGATCACGTGCGAAATGCTGTAGCTCAATCCTTGATGCCGCCTCCTCTCCCTGGACCAAGAGTTGGAACAACACAGGACCAACTCTCTGGTTCAGGCCGATTCCACCCCTAACCATTATGCTTGGACCTCCCCATGAGTCTCGTTCCATGACACATTAGTCAGAATAACGCTGGCCACGTCGACGCCATATTCTGGTCCTGCTATCTGCAGTTGATACGCAATACCGACTCTCATCTGTGAACAGAACAGTTCTCCATTGCCTGTGTAGCCAGTTCTGGTGTGTTGGGCAAACTGTAGACGTTTGCCCAATCTGTCAGCTGTAAGGTCTACGGCAATGGATGTTCTCTCTGGCGAGACGTCGGCGCATTGTATCGGTACTGATGGGTCTTCCGTGTGTTCCCACTGTCTGACGTGCTGTCTAAGATGCCTGTGTGAAGGGATTCTGCACGTGCCGTTGCACAACATGGCGGTCTTGTCTCCTTGTGGTAACCCTTGGTCTACCAGTTCGGGGGAGATCATCAGTGGTGTTGGTGGCCCGAAAGCGTCGCTGAAGCCTGTAGATGGTCCGAACATTGACCTGGAAAGTGGAAGTGGTTGGCAACGGCTTGGGCAGTGTAGCCAGAGTCGAGTCTTCCAAGCGCCTGGTTCCTCTGAGTTGTCGTGAGCCGTGGCATGCTGCTGACGTTGTAGAGTGAATGATTCAACCAGGTATGAGGGTGCATTTTATAGGGCTGATTCCGGTGAACAGCACATGCAGCATGAGTTACATGAAAATAATCGAGAACACATTACCATCTCAGAAGTCAGGTTGCGTTTTTGAGAACATTTCCTGGGTTCAATTCTGTGCTTGGGAAGGGACCTTATTGCTCAGGTAAAGTTGGAGATGTGGTCACAAATATAATAAAAACATTTGGCAAGTTTTATGCAATGCGTATATTCAGAGTAACATACCGACCTGACGTTTCTTTTGCTGCTTAGTATATGACGTTGTAACTTACCCTCAGTAAAATATAGAAGATTCCTGCTATACCATGTGCTGCACCAAGATAATGTTTACCATGCCAAGTAAACATTAGAGGTGATGGCGAACGATCTTTCTGTGATAATTCTTTACCTTGATCTATTATAACTTTTACAACCTGTAATTTAGATCGGTTGAAGCGGTCCATATAAAAATATATTGTATATATGACGCTTTAACTTACCCTCAGTAAAATATAGAATATTCCTGCTAAACCATGTGCTGCACCAAGATAATGTTCATCATACCATGTAAACATGAGAGGTGATGGTGAACCTTCTCTCTGCGATAATTCTTTACCTTGATCTATTATAACTTTTACAACCTGTAATTTAGATCGGTTAAAACGGGACCATGAACGGTGAGGGTGTAATGTCCACTCGACACAAACTATGTCAATTGGGACTAACATATAGTACAATTTTATTCCAACATTTCGCACCGTGGGAGCACAGGTATTTTGCCAGGGCATTGACAGGCATTCTCGCATGAATCCTGTTATCTACTTGTGCTATTCTCTGTTCTTGTTTTTATCCCGCAAGGCCCGACTCTCCATGGTCACTGCACACTGCCTTTTCCAGGCTTTTTTAAAAACACGACTTAGTTAGAGATTAAGTATGTGCGAGTTGTCTCCCCAATACGCACATTTAAAAAATGCATAGTAATATTAAACAATGAAATAGCTGTGTAGAGGTGTTATCAAGTGTTCTACAGACAATAAACATTTACCTTAGATATAATACTGCCATCAATACAATCAGTACCTATATATTTCTGCACAAACAATAGTGAGTAGATATAACCCACTCGTCCATACAACAACTCATTAGGTAGATCTTTATCTTTACATACGTACTTATGTAAATCTGCTAATCTAGTAAAAGAATTAAATATAAAATATTTTTTATTGATGGAGAATATGTTACAATTTTTAGTGACTGTAATTTAATAAATCTGATTTCTTGTGTGTGTGTGAAATAGCTTTATTTAACGTCCGCTTCCACCGAGGTGATATCGCAGACAACTTCTAATTTCTTACATTATTTTTGTTTATATATAAAATGAAACCAGTACTTCTGCTACGTGTGGAAGAACTTACTTAAGATAGACGCAGGTGCGGGTTGTACAAGTCTCCAGTTTAATTATACATGTATTTTTTAGTTTGAATCATAAGTTAAAAGGGGCATTAAGACTAGCTCACAATCCGCCATACGTGCTATTAAGGGCCGTCTACAAGGGAAATTTGAGTAAACCTGTCTTTTGCGTGTGTTCGGCACCGTAGAAAATCGCATAAAGAATTGTCAGTTCTCGTTATAATAGTTTAAGAAAAGATAATGAAAAGGGAATATGTTGAAATTTCAGTCAAATTACTTCACTCTGAGCCTAATTTCAGCGATACAATAACACTGTTTCCTGGATTGTCATTGCTACCATTGTTAGGGCAAAGTCTCGATTATCCAATTCATCAACAGCAAAACGTATTCAAATGTACTAAATATCACAGGCATCCGATGGAATCGAGAGTTAATAATAATCTTGGTAAGTTAATTAATGTCTAATTAATAATTTATATAACATTTAAGACCTAAAGAAAGACCTGCAATAGGCAGATTTAGCTCTTGCATAATACCTATTTAAAGTAACGATGCCTGATTTCCATTTATTTTTTTCGAAAATATCAGATTTCTGGCGGCGTAATTAATGCTAATATTATTGATTATTTAACACTTAATTAAGCAAACAAAATCAAACGCTAGATAATATTCAGCAATCTCACGTCTTGGATTCAAATTTGGGATTAAAACAGGCCAATCAATTTGGTTCACTGCAAATAAAGATGGCGGTCGTTTTGTTACATAGGGATTAGTGTAGATCTATGGAAATTTCGATTCGTCATATCTTTGTTTTAATTGTGTCACAATACATTTGATTTAATATACCTTGGAAAAGACCTAAAACACTATAGACTGTTCGATAAGGAGCGATTGTAGTCTTCGAAACACAAAACCTTCAATCTCCTTGTGATTTGTATCCAGATCACCGGAAAAAAAATCGCTCTCTTGTGCGTGTGTAATCAAAAAAAAAAAACAAAAAAAAAGCCCACCATTTTTAGCTGGTAAGTAACCGTTTTAACCACCAAGATTTTCAAAGACAACCTGGCCAAGACAAAAATCAACGTGTGGGCTAAAATTGGACACAATTCTGCTCCCTGCCACCAAATATCACGAAATATGACCAGGCTTAAATATATTCATTGTTTTCAAACTTTCGGTTTACCTTTGAATACATTCTGTACTTTGTTGTTTTTGGTTTAGTTTATGATACACTACAGCTCCTATTGCTAAAGGTCCTGGATCTCCACACAGGAAACTCATACGTTTCCCTTTAAGGTGTTGTAATGGTTGACGTAAGAACTGTAGAGAAGTTTGCAGGAACTTGTCGCCACTTTCCTTGGATAACACATTATGTAAATGCAAATTCAGGAGAGCAATCCCTAAGAAAAAAAAAGCAAGAAAATACATGAAATGGAGTTTAACGTCATACTTTTCTGCTAATGAAGACGGAGCAAAAACATAAAGAAATAAATCTTATATTATAAATTCCACATGGTTTATTTTGAGGCCATATTCAGCCTGGAGCCTGGAGATAATGTTGTAAATTGAAATTACATCGACATGTTTTACATCGGTAGACTGAAACTGAACTATAACTTAGAGGAGCTGATTTTCGATTTTCAAGTAACAACACGGATTTTACGACCGTCGACTAGATTATCTTATCTTTAAATATGTTTCATCTGAATTATTCACATTGATTTTCTATCCACTTGCATCACTGTCAAGAGATTATTGATACTAGTTATATTTATTTTTTTGGGTGGTGGGGGTGGTGGGTAGGGGTGTAATCCTCTTATTTACATTTAATAGATTTTAGCCCTCCTTTGTGTCTGTATAATGTTTTTTGGACCTAATGTGTTTTTTTAAAATTATTTTGATAAAATAAAAATCCGACTAATTACTCACCTGGGGACCCTAAATACACAGAATGGTCACGACCTTCATCTTCCCTCTCAATGCCAGCATATAACTGTTTTAACAACCGGTCTATTACTTGTTTTATCTCGTTAGATAGCGCATCATTTAACTACAAGATTAAAAATACATTTAAAAAAAAAAAAAAAAAAAAATTAAAAAAAAGGAAAAAAAAAGAAAGGAATGTGAACATCCTTACTATAAACTCGATTTACGTTTATATTCTGGTTGGAGGTTGAGCATCTATGTAAGATGTGAGGTTAGTCCACAACTATTTCATACGACAACTAAATAACTCTGTGTGTAGCCTACGATAATCAATACACTAGCTACGAGAACGTAGTAGCTAAAAACGTTGAGATATACTGATATTCTTGTTTTTAGTTACGATTGTCTTCCCATGGACTACATTAATGATTCAATACAACGGCTCAACGGGCAATACTAATCACAGGGAAGAACATACGCGAGCGTTTTTTTTTTCAATGACGGCCGAAGTATTACAAATGATGATCGACAGAGAAAAATATAAATATGCATATTTATTTACACATTTGATCCATACGTGCAAGAGAAATATTGAGACTGAGAGTAAATTTGTACGGCATTAAAGGTACGAAATGTCTCGTTTGTTTTGAGTGGACTTTGAACCTAGCCTCTATCTCTAATTTCTCATCGTATTAACTATTATACTAATACATTGGGCGTCAAGACACCCGGTAAATATAATTTCTGGCATAAATCATTATGGAATCGATTGTGGTGCTCGCGTAAATAGTACTTATGCGCTGTTAATAACAGTGCTATATAATAGTATTTCTTATTCATAAATTCATATTGATACATTGGTCCAGTCCGTATACTCCGTAGCGTAGCCTACCTTTTGGTTTTCGCCAAGTAATTGTTCTTGATTGTAATCCTGAAAAGGATTTGGAAATTCTCGAGCTGTCATCCTCAGTATACTTCACTATGAGTCTATGACACAATTTATAAAACATATACTGGTCAAACTATGGTATTTCAGGATATGAATTGATTACTTTTTCAGAATAGTTCTATAAATTTGTGCAGAAATTTTGTGGGTGGCAGGGTGTAAATAAAAATAGAGTTATCTCCCTTATCGACGACTAGATTTTCCAGACGTTCACGCTCGAAATAACAGAAATATATAAATAGAATTTTAACTCGAAGGAAAGTAAAGAAATACCGGTAGTCATTATTATGAAGAAATTGTATTATTATGTTATTTTTAAAATGTTAGTAGGCTACGAACATGTACAATGGGCTGCCTTGTACGTAAATAAAAGAATTACTATGTCTGAAAAAAAGGAATACACAGATGACTGTAAAACCAAACCCCAATTAAAACAATTAATCCACAATCAACATCGGCGTATCATTCGTTCTCAAGCTAAAACCACAAATCAGACGATTTTCATTTATCAAATTTAATTTATATTCACCTTCCATCCAACGCATTAGAATTTAAAGGCATGGCCAATTAAATTAGACACAAAACTTGACGAAAAGGCAGACTTCAGACGCGTATGTCCACAGGGGAGGGGTAGGGGGTGGACCCCCCCCCCCCCCCCTGCTAACACACAACATATTTTCTCTCTCTTCAATTTATAGAAATAACGTTGAACAATTACAAACACGCGAAGCATTGTCACTGTTTTGACCCCATTGCCCTCTAACCCTATACATAGGTCTACACCTAAATGAGCAGGAATATTGTCTGGAGCTTCTGATTTTATAAGATTCTCAAGTAATCCCCACCATGCCCCCCCCCCCCACTCCGCTGCTCAAATTCCTGAACACGCCCCTCGACTTCTTTTGTCAGTAACTTATTACGGTTTGTGGTTTGCTGCGATCATCATTTTGTGGAATTTAAGAAGATAGGTTAACAGACAACGAATAATACGCCATCAGCAACTTCAGCTGAGATTTACAGGCCCCCACCCCCTCTCCCCCGCCCCATCAAGTGCATTACAGCTGCATCGTATTAAGTTGTTTAGCCAAGTTGAAAAGGGAATGAAATGGAATGGGGTTTATCGCCTCACTATTCTGCCCCGACGACTGGGATAATGAAGACGGACATGCGCCACACAGTGTGCCACGAGGGAAATTTTTCCGGATAGCGGCGCTACGTCTTACTCTTATATCGAATTATAACTGTCAAGGGTTCTTTACGTGCACGCCAATCTATACTCGGGACCTCGGTTTTTCGTCCAATCCGAACAACTATACATTGTCCTTAGCCAAGACATCTGCCCTGCACCACTGACAAGGGGGAACTACACCGGAAAATCTAGATGAACTTTCTCAGCCAACGCAGGAAACAAATGTGGGACCTCAAGGTTGGCGAGTCAACGTCTTACTGACTGAGCCACCGTGGTTACAAGTGGAAAAAAACCAAGTAGGCTGGAGTAAAAGACCCAAACCTTCGCGTTCACTTACCATAAAGCATAAAACATCATAATCTGGGGATAAGTAGTGTGTCTAAAATCTATTACGTTCATAGTCGTGTAAGGGTGATTATCAAATTCAAGGACAACTCACTGGCCTAAAACCGCTTCTTTGTCACTAAAAGTACCGAATACGCCCACGCCCCCTTTCTTATTAATTAACTGGTGTTAAGATGTTCATTATATAGTAAATATTGGATTTCAGGAGCCCACGCTAAGATGACAACATCAATATTGATTGAAATGGACCAATTTTGAATTCTAATTTGTGTTTCTAATGTCAAATATCATGGTAAATATTGAGTTAGAGCTATACGCCATTTAATTAACAACTCAAGAAATCTCCATGTTTAGTTACACTTTAATAAAAATGCATTTTCAATCATACATTGCACCAGTCAATTAAATGGAATTAACAATTCACACACTTTCTTCTTTCTGTGAATCTGTAGGTATTTGTTCTTGCTCTTCCTCTTCAGATGTCGCCATGTGTCTATCAAAGTTAGGTAAAAAGGGAACGTAACGCGCCCATTTCTGTCTGTCCAAGAATTTTTGAATGAAAGGAAGATTATAAACCGTTAAATCAGTTAAAGGACTGTTGTTGTCATCTTCTTCCTTCTTGCTTTCTCGCCATTTAATAATACCCCTCTCCTCTAGCGTTCCTGGAAAAAAGAATGAAAATATTTTTTGAACAATGAATCTTATTTTTGAAGCTATGTGAATGATGCAGGACTGGTGGCCTTGGCAGTGTGTAGTCGTTGGCAGCGACGAAAGACCGAGGTCCCGTGTACAGCTGGAATTCAGTTGTTGTCCGGGTAAAATTTCACTCATAGCACACTGTGTTGTGTATTCCCGCTTTAATGAGCCCCGTTGGCGCAGAAAAGTAGGATGTTAAACCCTATATTTGTTATTCATTCATACACTGCATATTGGGATTTCTAAGGTCTGTACATGGATATAGATCAATGTAAAAGTTATATAATTCAATTTATATATCGACACTTCCATACCTTTTACAAGGTCAAATCATAAAATATATCTATACATATGTGCTTACGTGATTCACAATAATGGATGGACTATAACATTAATTAGTCTTCAGATAAAGTTTTGAACATATATGTTTGTTTTTTCCTACAACAGATTGCAGAGTTAACCCTTCTACCGGCTTTATTTACTATAAACAAATTCAATTTGCCATGTCTCAAACTGGTTATTCTCCTATTCCGCCATATTGTAATCTCGATGACCAAATATAGACAAAGGGATTATTTAACTGAGCAGAAGACTTTCAAAGTAAACCGTCTAAAACGGCTTCTCTTTTCAGTCGATCAAGATGCTTTTATGTAGGACTACATATATGTTTACTGGCAATGACTAAATGTTGGAGATCACACAAGGTACAGTTTTTTTCGGTTCAAAGCAACTTAAAAGAATAGACTACCTGGAGCAATATTATTTAGAAGACAAGTATACACTACCTGGAACAGTATTATCGAGAACAAAAGCAATTAAACCGGCCATAAACATACTGGTACTTAATAATACTGTAATAACTTGATCAACACCTCCACTACCTGTGGATACAAAATGATTTATATGTACTAGTTTTCCTTGACCCCCCCCCCCCCTCCAAACCAGAACAATACACGAATAACACATTTAGTAATTGGGTCATATTTCAATATCAATATGGAGATGTGGCTGTTAACCTTAATATTCAAATAAGTGAATGTTAGGTTTCTCATTCAGTCTTACCTATTTAATTTGTGTATATGCTTGATAGCGACTTGTGAAATCTTGTTGAAGCGACACAATGTAATACACCATAGATAGTAACTGGTATTCCATAAAAAGTCTGTTATTTGATTATGCCCCAAGTACTAAATGTCATCCAAAGAGTACAGAACGATACACTTCTGGGACAATTATGCCATTTTTAAGATTATTCATATTATAGGTTTAAAATTCTTAAAAAACAAAATACAAAAAAAACCATTGTTGTACATTTCATTATAAATAAATCTAATTTTACCTGTTTTAATCACTCCACTGTTCCTGGGAAGTGTCAGCCATTTTGGAATACAGAGACCACAAAATACAGATACCCCGAATATAAAGAGATTTCTAGAGGAGTTTAAATCGACAAACTGTAGGTTAGATATTCCAACAGAGACCACCATACCTGAAATAAAACCATGTTTGTTTTTTACGTCATTGTTTGTCAGACAGTTAAATATACATTACAACAATATATTATTTGTTGCTACAATATTTTGTGTGTGTGTGTGTGTGGGGGGGGGGGTGTTGTTACAAAGCGAAAAGTACAACCGTTACTGCTCTGCTAACATGCCACTAGAATTACAAAAATTATTAAAAAAAAAAAAACATCACACGCACCACCAATGAAATAAATTCGTATATTGCCAACACACAAGGGTCTAAAGAATGTCGACATTCGGATAAAAAAATATTTTTGGCGTTAATGAAGGAGATGAAGAAGCTTATTTAGTCCCTTTTGTCAGTGATGCAGGACGGAGGGCCTGCCAAAGACAGCTGTCTAGTCGTTCGGATGAGACGGAAAACCCAGGCCTCGTGTACACATTGGCGTACACGCAAAATTTCCCTCATAGTACACTCTATGCCCGTCTTCATTATCCCAGTTGGGAGCAGAACAGTAGGACGTTGAAGAACATAAATTTTCATTTCATTTCATTTATTTAGTTCCAACGATTTTGGATTGTTGCTTATTTCGATTAGTTGCCTTTAAAAAATTACTTTATGTTGTCTTGCCCTTGATCGGTTTTAGCAACTTTAGGTATATAATTCGTTGCCTGATAACCTATATTTCATTTTTATTTATATTAGTTCCCGGTGATCAAATTTAGATATTGAATATCTGCTGACTTACCAAACATAACAATAAACAATCCACCAATGACAGGATCAGGTAGACTTACTAAAACAGCACTAAATTTAGTAAAACATCCAAGTATTATAAGTATTACACCGCCAGCTTGTAATACAACTCTACTACCAACCTAAAATTACATTTACACATTTCATTTTGTCGTTCAATAAAGGTATATGATTTTGATACGTGTAGAGGAATTCACACCGCAGAGTTCCTCTCAAGTTCTTTGGGCGCATCGTATGGAAAGCTGTTCAACTATTAAAGTCATAAGGCCGGCATTTACACATTTCATTTTGCCGTTCGCGAAAGGCAATGACTTTGAAACGGGTAGATGAATTCACACCAGAGTCCCTTTCAAGTTCTTCGGGTGCATCGTAGGGAAAGCTGTCCAATCGTTATACGGCCGGCACACGTCAAGGAATTTTGTCTTCGATAAATCATACAGCCCGAAACAATGTTCCTATTGGGGTTTATTGTGTTTCCATGTGCCTACTTTTACGATGGATATTGCATAATTGCAACCATAAAAGCAATTGGGTATCCTCGTGCACGGCATACCATTGCCGATGAAACGTCGGCGACGATGATTCGGTATGAATGATGCTACGTGGAATTTTGACGATATGCCCTTTCACATATAGGGTAACTTCTACTTTTACGTACCAGGAAAACGACAAATGTCCAAAAAGCAAATCTGGAGCCAAGCAACAAAGCATCCGGATTCCGGAAGACCTAACACACAGCAGCCTAGGTCACCCGTTCCCGGAATTCACGGTTGCACATTGTTATTGATAAATATTACATATCTTATAAATAGCTCATTGCTCATTTGATAAAAATAACATCAATAGGTGAAGGTTACTGACAAGTTTTTACACTGATTAAACGAAACGTTAAAATAAAATGTGTTTAAAATTAATTCCTTATAGTATAGAGTTACGCGAACCCACCAGAGAACAGTCACATCAACAAAAGATGTGCCAATTGTCCATTGAGTGGTATCATAATGTTCTATGTGAAGGTCTGGAGGGTTGTGGGGGGGGGGGGCTGTAGGCGCGAGAAATTATTTAACAACCTGACTTTAAATGGTGCTTTCTAGAGTATATCGTGTGACGTGTGGCAATCTTGCAAATTCATCAAACATGTTATTACTTAAAAGACCCCGCAAACATTAGCTTCTTTAGAGGCACATGAGCCTAAACCAATACACACAGTCTCCTTCTCGGTCCATCCCCGAGGAACAGTAAGCATCATATCCGGTGCACAACACTCGTCAACACTGGTACAAAATTACCTTAGTTATACCGATGGCACCAATATTTTCACAGTATGACGTCACCCCACCTGGTGAACCAATTGCACCTGCCAATAGACAGCTAATCCCTTCCATTCCAATTCCTGTAAAGTATAACAAAACTAATTTAAAGATCTGGCAGGACCTCTAATAGTAAATGCAGGAGGACCGCACTACACACACACACAATAAACGTAGGAAAAGACACACAGACTACACACTGCGCTGTGCAGTCTCAGGTCTGAAATGATACTGGTTTCACGCGATCGAGCCCCCACATTATGTGGTATCGAATTAACCAGCTTGACCCCGTGAATGTTTTAGGCCAAAATTTATGAAGGCCAAGGTCACAGATCTTAGGCCACGGGTAGATCTTGGGCCCGGACAAAGCCGTTTATCCAGCTAAAAAGGGAATATTTCCCAGAGATTGTATAATATACTAGCTACGTGCTACATGAAATATAATTGTATGCACATTGAAGTAAAATACCTTACGAATAACCATTTACGCCAAATGTAGTAAAAAAAAAACAGGGATCAAAAACATTATTAGCTTGTGAAAGAATTAAAGTGTGTTAAGGCGATATTTTCTATTTCAAACTGCTTTAAATCCGTCGATCGTCATTTGCATTTTTTAGACAATATCTATTTTTTCACGGCTTAATCCAAAATATATGTACTCAAATTTGAACATTTAGCATTTAATTGAGAAAACAAAATCAAAATATCAAGGGTAAATAATCTCCCGGTTTGGATTCATTCGGATTATATAAAGGCTCATCAAAAGATTTTTGCGAATATTATAGATGGCGCTGTCTTGTTTTTTCGTCACAATAATAACAATGAATAATAATAATATGAACATTTGTATAGCGCCAATTCAACATTTTAAAGTATCTTCTATGTGCTTTCTACACAGTTTAAAAAAAATTATATACATATCGTTTAAATAGGTATCTTTTAAGTCTGGATTTAAAACACTCACTAGATGCAGCACTAAAGACCGGTACGCGCAATCGAACTATTGAAATAAAATTAAACCATATGTTAGTCCCGAAATGACCTAGTCTGTGTCGAGTCGACGTTAGACCCCATTTGCCCACTCCCTCTTAAAGAAAGGACATTATTGTACCATATGTTATTCCTGAAGTGACTTGGTTTGTGTCGAGTGGACGTTAAACCCCATTGATCTCTATCTCTTATTTTATAACATGGCGTTCTTCATTCAGCAGACGAGTTACCGCGGGGTATAGATTAAATGTTCAACCTCGAGGATTAATATATCTTATACACCATTACTTACTTACATAATACCAGATTAGTTTTAAATCTAATCAACTATAAAGATATTATTTTTATGAATTAATCGATCTTCGATCAAACTGTGATAGCTTCAGTCTGTTTATAATTATTCGTTTTGTTTATAAATCAACAGAACAAGTGGTCACCAGTAGTTTAATCAACTGATGGATGGGAATAAACAGGTATATTGGTATATTCACAAGTGACCAATTGCTCAACTTAATCTAAAAAATGACGAGAACGACAGTCTTGATGATATTTGTAGTATTTATTTCATTAACGGATGGTTTGAGGTTCATGCATGCATCAGAACAACCTGGGAAAATCCGGGGAGGTAAGTACATCTATGACCACAAAATTTGCCTTTCTTACCATTCTTACTAAATAATTTTGGAAGTATGTCTTCCGTATAATGACATCAAAATGTGTTCATTATTTAATTTTAATTAATCTGTATTGATAACGTTCGGCTTATGATGGGTAGGTAGAAAACATATTAAGATTAATAATATTTCGACCCATTGTCCTTGCTCAAAAAAGGTTCACAGAGTACTTGCATATCTGATATATATGTCAAACAAAAATACATTGATTGAAAGATGTTAAAATAGCTCTTTATAATATTTCGAATTTTAGATCGTATTATAATCAACCACTTTGACCACAGACATCCCCGAGACAGATATAGACGTGATATTCCGGGCATGCCGTTCGAGTTCAGTTTTTATTTTACCCATGCCGGAGAAGATTACCACTTTAACTTAACCAAGCGCCAACATTCACATATTCCACTTGCTATAATAAATAAATCTGGACAAATTGTTGCGCAAGATCCACCAACAGAGAAACAGATTGTCAATCAGGTTTGTGTCACAGATAACATTTAATTTACTGACGCATAGCACTTGACAATTAACGTCTTATTTATTGACAAACCACACTTGATTTACTGACATATAACATTTGGTTTATTGAACTATAACATCCGATTTACTTACATGTAATATTTTATTTACTGAAATATAACATTGAATATACTGACATACTATAGTACTGGATTTACTGACATATTACATTAGATTTGCTGGCATATAAGATTTTATTTACTGGCATATAACATTTAAATGACTGACATGTAACAGTAGATTTACTGGCTTTTAATTTATCTTCAATATGTGATAACAAAATTTGTGACCTACCTATAAATAGCTAAAAATCAGATTTAATGATGAATAATGTGATTTACTGACAAATAACCTAATATTTGAATTATTGATGAGCATGTGTTAAATAAATAACAGGCTATTTGATAAATAACTGACAACAGTGAAACCCCCTATTAAGACCACCGTGGGACTGTCTAGATGTGGCCTTAATACATAATAATAAATACCTAACGGCATCTAAAACATTAACGTTTTTACACACTTGCACAACATCCATCATTGTCAATTTTGGCTAGCACAGATCTCATTAACCCCTTGGTCAATCTGATTAAAACACATTTCCTATTTCGTTTCGTTTTTATAGTTCAAAATTTCATTTTACTTGTCTTTACTATACTAAGATCTGGATGAGGTGTTATAATTGACGTGAGTAGGGTCGCCTGTCCAACCTCGTGGGTTTTCTCCGGGTCCTCCGGTTTCCTCCCACTGCTAAAGACCCCTAGGCGCAAGCGAATGATTGAAATAGAATTGAACCATGTGTTAGTCCCGAAATGACCTAGTTTGTGTCGAGTGGACGTTAAACCCCCCCTCTCTCTCTCTCTCTCTCTCTAATTGACGTGTTGTGGATGGTGTGGGTGATTAACCAATGAAACGGTCTGTTACGGCGAGTTCTTGACCATTTGATGCACGGAACTGTAGGTAAAGCACTAGAAACGCCAACGCTGATTGATTAATCAATATCTGACGTCATAGGGTCAAAAGTCTCCTGACGTGAACTCCCACTATAACTTGTCAGATCGTCATGTAGTGTAGGCCATCGAAAGTATAAAAAAACGAAACGAAATATAGATATGTATTGCAATCAGATTGCCTCTTAGTGTAATACGACTGGAAGCTTTAAATATTTCTCTGGTCAAGTGGTTTGGGTTTTGACTACATGTATTTGATTTACTGAGATAAGTATTTGAATTTCTGACGAAAAATACGATATTTATGCTACTGTTCCATATATGTAAATGTGTTTGTTATATTGTTATAGGTTTCTCGTGTTTATCGAAGCCAGAAAAAGGACGGTGTCTTCATTGTTCAGAAATCGAAAAACGATCCTAATAATTACATAGTGGTAGGTTCAATTTGTCCTTTATTGTTTAACATTTTTGAGAAATGCACTGGCCTGGTCAAATTCTTGTTTTTGCCATGGAACCACGGTGCCCCAAAGAGTAAGACGCTGGCTCACTAATCAGGAGGTCCGGGGTTCGATCATGGTATTGGCCGAGAGAGTTCATCGGGATTTACCATTGTCAGTTGTTTACCACTGTCAGTGGCATTGTCAGTTGTTTACCATTGTCAGTTGTTTACCATTGTCAGTTGTGCAGGATAGAGGGCCTGACAAGAAACATTGTGTATATACGTAAAAGAGGACTTGACAGTTGGAATTGTTTTCCGGTCAACATTTCACACTGACTTGTTTATGCACGTCTTCGTTAGCCCAGATGTGCAAGAAAAGGCGGACATTCGTTTACACAAATTACTCCCGAATTATAAATGTTTACAGGATTTCATTATATAGTCAAACACGCACACTATTAGTTTAAAAGAAATTCTCAAACGAAAACATAGACCCCTCTTTACATCTTGGCGTGTATTGTACGTAAAATAACCCCTGTCAGTTGGAATTCAATTGTTGCTCTGTCAAAATCTCCCCTCATAGCACATTTTATGGTGTATGCCTGTCTGCATTGGATTAAAAACACAGAAAGTTCAACCTCATTTCAGAAGCTACTCGGTATATGTACCACTGCTGTGGTTTGCAATTATGAATGTCCAACATGGCCACTCGTTATGACTCAATAGTGTCTACGATTCGCTGAGCAGAAAACTTTGATTATCTGGTAAAGAAATGGAAAACGATTGTTCTTTTTGAGTGTTAGTTTTCTTTCCTATGCCAGATTACATGCCCCCCCCCCCCTCAAACACACAAACACACACCCACACACACACGTTCGCACTCGTTAGTAGTTTGAACACTTATTATAAATTCTTCCTTACACACATTGTAGTTACTCTTGTCTTCTTTTTTGTGATTTCAGGGAGGAACGTTTATAAAAAATGGAAAAGAGTTTACTTTGAAACCGGGATTACCCAATGAAGAAGATGAACGAATCCATTACTTACAAGATCATAATCGCCATTTTTCTGACGTCGAACAGAATGCCAAACGAATAAAAGACAAGAAGACTATGGATCGGTTGAAATCAATAGGTACTGATTAAAATCGATGTCATCACCATATATGGGCTCTCCAGTGCTGGATTTACATGTAGATGCCGAGAGGCCCTATACTATTCCGCTTATGAGGCGCCTCCAAATCCCCAACCGTCACGACTAGAGGAATACGAAAGTCTGTTTTGAACACAATTGAGCAAAGTATTTATATAAAACGGCTTCTGACAGAGCCAAAAATATTATACACCTTGCATAAGGCCCTAGGCTTTGGGGTGTCCTGATCCACTGACTAGCGTAAACTACGTCACAAAATCCTCCAGGAACTTAAACCCGCCTGTCCAACCTCGTGGGTTTTCTCCGGGTCCTCCGGTTTCCTCCCACTGCTAAAGACCCCTATGCGCAAGCGAATT